TATTTCCGACATTTTTTGCTTTCATTCAATAAAATTAAAAAAAAATGTAAAAATTATGGCGTTTGACTTTGTTGCAGTTTTTTTTTCTCAACCTGAAGGTACTATAAATACATTTGTAGTTTAAAAATTCTATAAGTATACTATGAATATGCTAAATTGTGGAAAAAATTACTTTACATGTGATTTAACATCACGTTTAATCGAACTAACCCATTTTTGCATCAAGTATTCCCTTCGTATGAAACAAATCCCCAACATCTGTAAAGCAAACCAGTTGCCATCTTCATAAATATATACCTATCATCAGCTCAATCTCATAATAGTTCCTGGCATTAATATAGCTACCAATAATTGACTAAAATGACACGTAATGTCATTTAAAGAAGATTAGAAATAATATTTTCGCATTTAGTTCCATATTTCTCCGTAGAACTGCATCATTGCTCCTGTTCTTGGTGATGCGATAGCTACTGCAAGGCAATTGATGGATACTTTAACACCTCCACAATACATTTACCGAGCACTACGTTAGCTGACTACGGTTCAAACAACACAAGTCAGCAAACACATTAGCAAAGGACCAGGTTTTGTTTTGCATCTGACGGTAAATGCAGTCACACATTAAGCTTAACTAATTAAAACGTTGCTGCAGACAAAGGATGGCAATAATGACATTAACCTGACCAAAAACAGAAAAGTTGTTTGGGGGTGGAAGAAAAAATGAAACATTTTTGAACTATGTGGATTAGGCGATAACTTGGTGGTGCGCCAGTTGACAGGGTAATGCACATCGTTGATGGTTCATTGAAGTCATGAAATGTGTTTGAAAGTTTGTAGAACCTTGAGGATGTAAAGGCAAAATCAAGCCTATGAGAAGATGGGAGGACAAATGGTTCGAGGACAAATTTGGCTGGAAAATTTTATGGGAGAACTATTTCAGGTTCTGTGCCAATATGGAGTGGATGTTCTATTTCTGTTGTATAAAATGTCAAATAACAATTACCTTGGATAGATGTTTCATAAGTTTTGAAATTTAAGAAATTTGTACTATAAAGGAACAAAATATTACCAAACATTGTGCTATTGGAACCAAGCATTCCCCTGTTTCTTGATATTTAGATATATAACCATGTTAATAGGTAACCATTTTCATTATTGTGGATAACCGATCGAATACCTGGGAAGAGCTTTATATTGAATTGTTTGATGTAGGAAGGCTATATGATTATCAACTGGCTCACAACAGAGCAAATTCATGCTCGAAAAGTATTGGAAATTCATGCTCGAAAGGGACGAACAAGCTTCATTTGTACTATTTATTCTACCATTGGTATTAGGCGAACGGTTAGAGTATATTTATACCCTCAATCACAAGATGCAAAAAAAAAAATAAAGTATATTTATACCCTCAATCACAAGATGCAAAATATATTAAAGTTGTCATTCCGTTTGCAGAACCCGCCACCATTTCTAACCAAATTAGCAGAAATGTGTTATATCTGGCTCTAGTTATGTACGTTATTGACGGATATGACATATTTTGAAAATTGTTGACACATTTTGTTCAACTATTTCAACAAATTATCCCTGCCAAAAATAATAGCTTCATTATTGTGTATTGCCCCCATAGGTTTCGTAGTATCTCCTAATTAAAGAGTTTATGTTAAAGGTCCTATCCACATTTTTCAATTGAATATAAGTTGTATTTTAAAATTGAACAAATTGTATTCTAGTTTCTTGTAGATCCCGCAGCGTATATATATATATATATATATATATATATATATATATATATATATATATATATATATATATATATATATATATATATATATATAAAGGGATATAAAGGTCTACGATTTGTTATAACCCCCTTATTTGAGTTTTAGTCATATTTTTCATCCGAAATAGCTGTATATCGGCAGTTTGTGTTTCCAGCGCCCAGAAAACATCTTTGCAATGAACTGTCCTTATAGGTCCAGATTGTGGTATTCGGTGTTTGGACGATTTTAGAAACATTTTTTTAAAATAATTTGCTCAATGTTGGTTTTGGAACTTCTTTGGAAGATAATTTTTTATGCAGGTCTATGTTTTCATATAGCTCCCATATAAGGGTAACCCCGATATTCGGCATTTGCGTGATTTTATGAACGTACACTCTACAATTGAATGATCAGTCTTGTTGCGTCGGCGTGTGATAAGACTGGATTTTTGGAAATTCGTTCTGAGAGGATACGAAAAGAACCAAAAAATGGAATTTGGATATTGGACTGATAGGGCTGGAATTCTGATATGTGATGAGAAGGAAAATGTTGGCATATAGTTCTGAAAAAAGGAGGTGGATTTGAGAATACGTAATATGTTCCAAAAGTACTAAATGATACTAAATTTGCCATTGAGTAAATGGATAGACATTAAATCCTGATATTTGATATTGAGGTCACTTTTGGTTTCTAGTTGAACTAGTTTTGGACGGAAAAATTGGATGTGGGTCCATTGTGCAATGGTAGATTTTGAAGACTTTTTAGTGTATTATTCATTCCGAAAAAAGAAAAAGTTTGAATAATATGCAAAACCTCGAATGTCTGAAAATCTAGTAAGATGTATTAATTTGTGAATTAATTAATTTTATCCACTTTGAGTTTAAAATTGTTTGAAGTGTAGTAGTTCGTATTGGATAATGTTTAATAATAACTTACGCCGCGCAAACACTTGATTTCGACACATATAGACAAATTGTGAAAGGTGTTTCCAAATGGAGTAGGGTATTAAAAGTTCGGAATTTTTTGCTTGCTCCATTCTCAAATATGTACCAAGGTTATTATGGAATATCACAGAGAAGATAATTAAAGTATATTTATACCCTCAATCACAAGATGCAAAATATATTAAACTTGTCATTCCGTTTGCAGAACCCGCCACCATTTCTAACCAAATTAGCAGAAATGTGTTATATCTGGCTCTCGTTATGTACGTTATTGACGGATATGACATATTTTGAAGATTGTTGACACATTTTTTTCAACTATTTCAACAAATTATTATTATTATAATAGCTTCATTATTGTGTATTGCCCCCATAGGTTTCGTAGCATCTCCTAATTAAAGAGTTTATGTTAAAGGTCCTATCCACATTTTTCAATTGAATATAAGTTGTATTTTAAACTTGAACAAATTATATGCTAGTTTCTCCATCATTCTGTTTGTAACACCTTGAAATATAAATTGTAGATCCCGCAGTGTATATATATTATTGACTAGCGTACAATTTAATGTTCGTCTGTCCATCTCGGGAATTTACTTTAGCTTCCGAACGAAATAAAGTAGGTTGATCAAATTGTACTAAGATGTATTTTAAGACTGCAGGACTTTTGGTATTTAAAATAGGCAAAGAAGTCCATATTTTGGGTATGGACATCGGGTGCTGCTATAGATATTGAATGGATAGAACACATTCTCATAAAAAGTTACACTTTTCCACTGAATGGGTTACAATTTGATCACTTCGGTACGCACCGCGGCAGCAGTTTTTCTTGGGAAAATATTTCGTATTTATATTGGCGTATGACCATGGGGACAACTGATTTGGCTACAATTCAAGTTTTCACATGGGGCTTAATTAAACACCTCGAAATATTGTTTTTGGAGCTCGCCGAGCTGAATCGATCTAGCGTTGTGTCCATTTTAATTTGAAATTATACTAAAGAATGCACTAATGGCCCGATCGTAACCAAATTTCATATGGATGTAAGGGTGGGGTCAGAATAGAAGCCTATTTGTTTTGGAGATGATCGGAATATTGTAATGGTCGGAAACAGAAAAAATGCTGATGCCGGATAATATATAGAGGTGAAATGGACAATAACTTTTGTATACAAAAACTCATAAATTGCCATTAAAAACTATTTTTAATCCCGGCGAAATCACAAATACACTTTAAGGTAACTTTTGGCCATTGCGTCGATAGGCAAGATATCGGATGTATGAGGAAATATGTAGTTATAACGCTTAAAACTCTAGCACGGCTGGGCCAATTGATAATTCTCACCATACAATAAATCTATAAAATCTAAATAAAAGCATAAAATATTACAATAAAAAACTGAATATTTCTTGTTATATTTTGCGATATTTTGCCATTTTTCATATTTTCAGTTTACTTACAATATTCAATTGTACATTTAACAAAACAAAAAAAAAAAAAAAAAAACATTTGTATACCATACAACATTATGTGAGGGCGTACTTTATACAAGTCGAAATTATAGTCCGGTTTTCTCGAAATTTTGCATGAGCGTAGGGTCCGAATAGAAGCCTATTGTTTTTGGAGATGATCGCAAAATATTTAGATGTTGAAATGGACCAAAAATTCTAGAAGTAACAATTAAAGAACAATCGACACGGAATTTTGCTTGAGGTTAGATATTTGGACGGATGAATGTAAGAATTACAAAATCCTATTCATTAAATCGAAAAGTACTATGATTTTTTTTAAAAGTCAAATTATATATCCTATATATTATAGTGTTGGTCGGCCCCGCGCGGCTATAGCCGTTGCTTACTTGTAATGTAATATTGAGCGAGTTCTAAAAGTGTGAGCAACTTCCTTACGATGTTTTCGATTAATTACAGACATAGCCTACTTGAAGTACTTCACAACTTTCTTATTTCACTTGGAGTGGGAGGTAATGCAGATTTCAATCTATCTTGTCTTGTAATTACTTTATTTTCAGGCCAGTGCTCTTCAGAAGTTTAGTTTAGATTATTGTGATAAAACTATTGATTTTCCGCCTTCATAGTTTTCGTGGGTTGGAGTTTAAAATCATCATATTTTTACAGATTTCGAAATCGAGGTAATTGACTTTCTTTTAGACCAATCCGTCTACCAAACTTGGCAAAAAACGTTTGATTTCTCGGAGTTGCAGACGCTTTCGAATATTGTTTTTCAGGACTTATAACACATTTTTAAATTTTTTTCACACTTTTCTTATTTCACTTACCAGCTTTCGAATAAGAACAAATTGCCAAGAACAAAACGGAACAGAAAACGAGATCAGCACAATTCAATGATTTCATCATTTTAGAGATTATTTTGTTGCTGGGGGCACTTAATTAACACTACAAACGATATTACACTAGTAACTTCCTAAACACTCAGAGGATAATCCCTGTGTCTAAGTGATGGTGAGTGTGTGCGTGTTTTAGGTTTTGAGATTTAGTTAATAGGGTATTTGAATCACAAAAGAAACAAATCACAAACGAAAATAATCCTAGTTTTTTTCACACAACAAAGGATCAATGGTATTCCTCGTTTTCAATATTGGTTGTGTTGGATTTGTCCAGAAGCAATTGTTGTTGTTATTTTTGGTATTTTTTTTTGTTTTGTTTCGTTTGAGGTTTCTTGTGTTGTGTCGTTTGTAACGTTCGAACAAATTATGCTTGGACACTGTTTCAAAAATGTCCTTTTATAGGGAAAAATAACTAAAGACAAAAGGTATGGCCCTAAGCGGCAATGGCGGCAGCACCAGTGACAACAGCAACAGAAAATAGCAGCTACAGCATCATTAACATCATCCATCCATCCACGCACGCACAGCAACAGGATTCTCATACTCCATCGCAACATGTTATCATAGAGGACACTTTCACACACACACACACACACACAGAGACATCCTCGAAACATTTAGGATAAATACAGCAAACACATAAACAACAACAACAACAGCGAAAACATGCTAAATTGTAATGCAAACTACCAATTGGAAAGACATTTTCCTCCGTGGTGTTGAAAATACGAATGACGATGATTATGATGTTGTAACATTTCATTCATTTTTTTTTGTTTTCGTGGGGGTTTGTGCAATTTTCTCGGGCAGGGGAAGCAGGGTCTTGTGTTCATTACAACAATCACAGCTTCTTGTTTAGCAAAAAATGTATAAAATATTATTGTGTTGTCTTTTTGCTTAAACAATATGTATGAATGTATAATTTTGTTGGGGTAAACCGAAATGTTTAACTGTTCGGATTCATTTTAGAGTTACCAACGAGTACAACAGCAATAAGGATCGGACAGGAATCGAGTGTGGGAAGAAATGAACAGTGCATTAGTTACTGGACCTGTTGGGTAGATTGACTTTATCACAAGTTCTACTGCCGAAGTGTAGACAAGCAATGCTGTTTTAATATAGGCATTTTTTGATAAGACCAAAACGTACATCACCGAAACAATGGTTTTAGACCCTAGGTCTTCTTTGGATCAAATCCGTTTCAAGGTATTTAGAGTCGTTCTAGGTGTGTCCGTTCATCCGTCTCTCTGTCTGTCTGGCTGGTGTGCACGATAATTCTTGGAAGAAGCATCCGATTTCATAGAAACAAGAATCATGTATTATGTCAGGAGCAAAAATGGACAATATCGGCCCACTCCATCATGTACCTCCCCCACAAAGGGTCAACATTTTGAATTATAACTCTTATAATATGAGAAAGATGCATTCAATTCTCTTTACATTTCACACATCCCTACATTTTTGATCACACAAGATCTGGTATGAAGATGGAATGTATCGGACTACTCCTTCTGGTACATCTCCCATACATTTACGAAAAAGTCAGAGATTCTATTCAAAATAGGTATATCTAAATATTTCTGCCAACCAGATATCTGATGTGAATGTGAAATAGGTTAAAATTATAATTAACAATTATTCCTAAAAAAATTTGTTTTAGGTGTTGATTTTCTTCAAATTTTGCACATTTAATTATTTTATCAGTCCAATATATCTGGAGCCTCAAGTAAAATTTCCAAAAAAATTATCGCGTATCTCATATAAAGGGAAGGTCAATATATTAGGGTTAGTTTAGATGAGAAGTGTATAATATTAGTCCTTTCATTCGGCATCTCCACAATAAAGGGTCAACATTTTGAATAATCATAATGTGAGTCATAACAAATTTTATACAGGGTGAGATAAAAAACTGCAACAAAGTCCAGCGCCATAATTTTTACATTTTTTTCATATTTTTGAAGGATAGCAAAAAATGTCGAAAATAGCATCAAATTTTAGAATAAGTTTAGATTAGAACAGTGTTGGCTTGTTTGTTCGGTATACTATAGTATTTTGTTGTTGCAAAATGGCCAGGCTTAATCCCTTTATTATACCCTACACCACAAGGTGGTCAGGGTATTATGTCTTTGTGCATTTGTTTGTAACAGGCAAAAGGAAACGAGATGGACCCATAGTTCCTTTTGATGATCTGCATAGAATCACATTCTGAGTCGATTTATGCATGTCCGTACGTCCGTCTGTCCGTCTGTCCATTTATTTTTGTAAACAAAGTACAGTTCGCATTTATTGCCCTATCCAGATGAAATTTTGCACAAATCATTTGTTTGGCCCAAGGGCGAACCCTATTGAAATTGGAAATAATCGGTAAAAATTTAGATATAGCTCCCATATATATCTTCGTCCAATTTGCCTATTATTGTGCACCAAACGTGTAATATCAGTCCGAATAGTATGGAATTTTGCACGTACGATCAGATTGGACCTTAAAATAAGTCTGGCAAATTTGATCGAAATCGGTTCAGATATAGCTATAGCTCCCATATATATTGTTCATCCGATTTGTTATATTTGTCCTCCGCAGCCGTAATATGCACTCTGTAACAACAATATTTGGGGAAATATATCAAATACAGCTCAGAAATACATTTGCTACATTTTATCGAGATCGGTTCAGATTTGGATATAGCTCCCATATATATTTTTATCCGATTTCAAACTAATTGTGAACCAAATGGGCAATACAAGTCCGAAGTTAAAAGACACAAATGCTTCAGCATATTTAGTCCTTTGAACTTTAAATAATTATAATTTTCATAGCGTGTAGAAGAGGAACCAAAGAATTAAATAAAATTAAATAAAATTAAATAAAATTCTTTTGGAAAACCTTCTAAGTCTTACAACCGCACTTATAATTTTATTCTATTGAGAACAATAAAGGGATTAAGCCTGACCATTTTGCAACAACATAAGTTTAGATTTGTTCGATTTAGTCACCTTTGGCACGAATTATGGCCTTCAAACGACCAATGCAACCGTCACACGCTGCCCGAATGCTGCTCTGCGGTATTTTGGCCCATTCCCGGCGAAGCGCTTGCTTGAGGTGATCGACACTTTGATATTTTTTTGTGCCAACCTTGCTTTCTAACGGATTTGTATCCGGAGATTTTGGTGGCCATTGTGCACCGGAAATGAAGCGAGGAATCCCATTTTGTAATCAATCTTGGGTGGCGCGAGCTGAGTGCGATGGTGCTGAGTCATGTTGGAATGTCGAAGGACTGCGGCCAAAATGTTTGCGTGCCCAAGGCTTTAATACACCCTCCAGAATATTTTCGCGATAATATTCGGCATTTATTTAGCGGAGAGCGACCATCGGCTGTTATGGCGGCCCACACCATCACCATGGCCACCGATTGAGTTCTGGTGGCCAACCGAAGGTGAACATTTTCAGCTGACCTCTTTGGCAAGTAAACACAATAATATTTGTTTGTTTACAAACTGCTGAACAACGAATGTTTTCTCATCGGAGAAAACCAAATTCGGCAGTTCACCACTTTCGGCCAAGCGAAGCTAATCTTTAGCTCTTTTAAGTCAATGTTCTTTCTATTGCGGTGTAAGTTCTTGCACTTTTTGGAATGTCTCATATGTATTAAATTTGCTTTGAGCAGAAAGTACAGGAACGGGAAACCTGTAAAAATGTCAATATTATATAAGTGAATTGGCCCAAGTTTCTTTTTATTTTATCCTCAAAATATACAAAGGTTTCGAGTACGGGAACGATATTCAAGTAAAAAATGGTATACTAGTATAATATAGCAGATACTGGAACACAATTAAGATATATATCTTATAATGCGTTGAGACAAAAAATTTTATCCGGATCAATCCATATTTACCATACAAAAATAGATCTTCTCATGACCAGATTCTGATGTGGAATCTACATACTAAGGAAAAACATCACTTTTTAAATTTTTCATTCGCGTAGTAAGATAAAAACTTAAACTTTTATTTCATCATGATCCTTCAATATTAATTGTATCTATATTAGGTTTGTTTGATACATCAATATTGGAAATGTTTGCATTCTCATTCAGTTGAGCGGCATTTGTATCCACCTAAGGATGTATTTATATACACAAGATTGGCCCACTGGATCTAATAAATCCAGTGGGTTAATCTTCAATATCATAAATGCGCTATTACACCATTTATTTTGTCACAACACTGTTCCGGTTTTCCCCACACAAGAACTACATAAACAAAAACGACAAACCCACACGTCTACGTAAATGCACTCTGACGAACTCTGACCGAAGAGACCCAAAAAGGCTAACAAATGTACGAACATATTTGGGATAATGAGATGCCACATTTTGACTTGGCCATGTTATGTTGTTGGGCCAACAATAGAAACAGCCTCCAACATACAATCTGACATTGGAAGGTATCCTTTTTTTTCGTTCTTGTAAAGGTTACAATGCTCAGCAATTTGTTGTTTGTTATTGTTTTGTAAATAATCAATTATCGTCAAATTTTCGTGGGAAATGTTAAAGATTCTCAAAAAAAAAAATACATAAATAACCTTATCATAACAATGATATACCTTTTAAAGTTAATTGTAAATGCGGAATGTTGTTTTAATTGAACAACAGATGAATAAATTAAGTAATTTCATTTGAATACATCTACAGCACCCTGAGACTCTCGCTCACCTAGAGGGGGGAACAATGCGCAAGCGTTTCAACCAAATGTTGCCTATATTCGAGCATATTGTCAGTCTCTTTGGTTGCTTGCAGCAGCAACAGGTTGTGGGCAGGATTTTGTTGCAAACACACTTGTTTTCCCAACATGTTGATTGCTACATCTCCTACAACAAGTTAGTTCATGGGCTAAGGAGATGGAAAACAAAGACTTGTTAGTTTTTTGTTTTATGACGGAAGAACAAATATTTAGTTATGGTCGCGGGTGAGAAAAAATATAAAGTTTTCTATATTTGTGAATATTGTTTATACTACTTTCCAGAGAACGGCCCTTGAAAGCCATCATCCACATCAAATATGCCTGATGAGCCGCTTAACCAACGGCGAAACGCGTCGCATAGTGGTGAGTGTGTGATAGTGTCTATCTGGCTTTCCTTTTCACTGCAAATTTCAGATCATTAAGCTCGTCTCGAAAGAGAAAACAAACACTTAAATCATAAAACATATGATCTTCGCCTTAACAAGGCAAAACTCAAAAATTCAGCCGAGCCTGGCTGTGGGATTTGAACCGCGGACCTCTGTGTGCAGCCAACTAGAAGTTGCCGTCTCTACGTTCAGAGCCATTAACCCGTCTTCCTAAAGCAGCACTAAAAC